CAACCTGATATGTGTCCTTGCAAAAATGTTGGTGACATCAAAGTTTTGTAATGCAAAGACTCACTTGAAACATACGTATACGATACTTCTTTACCTGTTCACACCTATCTTTTTTTAACTCATAGGGTTCTCATAGAATAAAATTTGCAAAACCAAATTTTATAATTTTCGAAGAACCTGTAGTTATTGACCTGTCCTCCAGGGGTGAGGGAAGTACTGTCTACTACTAACTTCATACCAATCAAAGTTGTTGCTACGCAAATAGTCTCAATAACATTTTTAAAATTCCATTCGGATAGGGGTACCTACTCCGTCGTGGAATGAACAGGCCGCTGGCCTGGCACTTCGCGAGGCACGGTGGATGATGCGGTTAATTATATAACAGGCCTTGTTCGGTGAGGATGGGTATGTGTTTAGCCCTGAATCTCGCAATACGACGTAACGCAGGAAATTGAGGAGAGCTCGATCGCCTTGATCAGAGTCTTCGATCCCGTATTGTGTGTCTTACCATCCAGATAGTCTAATGATGATTTTCTCTTCCGTTGTGTGTTTACATTTGTGATATTCAATATTTGTGTCAATTCGTAAAATTTGATTGAACTTTTGAAAGTTGGAGAGAGCTTTTGCAACTGAGAAATCAGTTCCTCAATAGCTTCTTTCAACAGTTTTTCCCTGTCAGTACTGGACGAATAAATAATTTGTGTTCCATATTTTAAATTTTGATTTAGAGGCACTTTTCGAACCTTGGAGTTTACCACATTTCAATTGAACGCATTCCGCTAAATAAAAAAATACACAGACAACGTAGAATTTCATTTTGTTGGTGACCAAATTTTTAAGTTTCGCGGGTTTTAACATTTTGTACAAATGGCTAATTTTGACTATCTATAATATAGTCATGAATTAGTTTGAACGGAATAAGTATATTTGCAAAATTCTTCTTTTTTTCAGCGTACATAGATCTTTCAAAGTGTTGGACCAGCAGAAGGTACAGCGTAGCGTGAACGATCACCACGAATTCGACAACTTAACTATACAGTTCGAATATATGCTGAAATAATTTTCTTTTGAAACAAATATTACAAGTTTGTAAAATAAAGTTATAGTACTTTGTATTACTCAGTTTCCATTTTTTATAGGAGCATTAATCAATTTTTTTTTTGTAAATATGAAATGAACCACTAAATATTTTATGTCGTGGGAATCGCAATTTAATAATTTAGTTATATATGCGTCATACTTGCAGTTTACCAACTTAGGCTTCCACCTTCAAGCTAAAAGCAATGTCGTTTACAGAAGTTCAATATTTCCATTGGTTTTTAAGAAACAACGCCGCTGTGTACACCCTGTATATTGAATTTACAGACTATTACATGTCGATTTAACAAATATCTCCAATTTCGAAAGGATTGCGTTTAATTTGCAATTTTCAACATTTTCACAGAAATTCGGAGAGGTGTATAAAACTGGCTTAATTCATTTTAATAACAGTTTGACAAGAACCACAGGTATTTGTCACAAAATTATGTAACATAGCAGACAGGTATTATTAATCACAGTCGGTCGGTTGACGATAGAGGATACTATAGATAAAAACAGGGCCGCAAAATTTAACAACACAGTTTCTTGAGGGTTCTCGAGCTCATCATGAAAGATTAAGTTACCAGGAATGCTTGTATTATTTTTCTTTAAATTAATGAAGCGCCATAAATTTTGTGGATTTACTTTGACATCATTTTCAGCATTATTAACAAAATTCGAACATTCCATTTTTATCTCGTTCTTTATAGGTTTCCTTAAGTGATTAACTTGAACCAGCTCCCTATCAGATTCAGTTTTTTTATACTGTTTCTATAAGCAACCCCTCTTTTATTATATTTAATTCTGAACTGTTTTGGTTGACTTTAAAATGCTGATGATAGTCAGAAACAGGAAATTTCAAAGATAAAAAACTGAACAGTTAAATTACGACTTGTATAAAATAAGCTAAGGTATTTAAACTAACAAACTATTTAATTATAATTGTTTTAAACTAGGTCGCAAAAGAGCCTGAGGATGGTCTCAAGTTAGATCGGAATTATGTACACCTTCGTGTGAATAAATTACATCTCGAAGGAAATGATAATATTAATCCTGCATTATGTTTTTAAAAAAGTGACGTAGTTAATTTTTCCTTTAGGACCGATTGAGACTGGTATAAAATTTACCCCAAAAGTCGCATATACATATGTAAAATTTAACTTCCCATTACATTAATGGCATGACCCAAGCGATTCAGATAAATTTTAATACTTAATATTTCGATATCGCGTTTAAATTACACCGACTCGAACGTCTTGCCTGCAAAACATTGAGTTTACATTTTGTAATTTAAACCTTTTTATTGACTGTCTCATCCTTTTGAAATTTTAATGCACTGAGTTCATAACAAGATTTTTTTGCAAAAAAGCTTTGAAAAATAGAGTGTCTTTTTGTAATAATGGAAATTCAAAAGACAATGTTCCATGTTTTTAATTACACTGTAATAGATAATAAAATCGAGATTTCCCAGAGGGTTCTACGACAAATGGAGAATGTGCCACTGAATATAACGCCGCAATATAAACCAGTCTCGACTAAACAGTGCCATTAAAATTAACAAAATTATCACATGTAAAGCAGATTTCTTTCCATAATGATTACACACATACTGTACAGCCTGATATTTTGCTTTAAATATTTAGAATTTTTTGTGATCAAGGTAATATCGAAGGTAAAATAGTATCATTTGAAGAAAATTTTATTATTTATTAAATTAATTAGTGCTCTAAAAAATTGTCTTTGGATATATGTCTGTGATAAACTATAAAGTTTACTTTAAACGGGTGTTATTTAACAAAATCTGACCTCAGCACTTTGTAAAAAATGAAATGTGAACGAAAATTTTAATAGCGTTGCTAAAAATAAATACACATCATACTTTTAAAGATAACTGGATAAAAACTGTAAGAGCGTACCATTATTAAAATGCGAAAATAAAAAAAACTTAACCTGGGAACTTTAGAAGAGAAACTGCTGTACTTTAATAACAGTTAAATTTAAAAGTTCGACGAAAAACTCCTTCAAGCTGACATTATTTTAATTAACAAGAAATACACCGATATTTTTTGCTTTACTTGTCATTACACTTTTTTCTCAGTTTTTGGAAATATGTTGGCGGCAATAATAAACCAGCAACTTTTTCTGGTACAAAAAAAATACAACCGATAGGTTATAATAATTACAAAGTCCCGCTTTCTTCTCGTGTGGTAGAATTTAATTTTACTTTGAAAACATATAAACATAAAATACATTTTAGAATAATTAACTGACAGCTTAATTAAAACAACATGAACCAATTAAAAATGTAAATTGATCGACTTTGTTTATGATGTAAATATGGCTGCAAAAATATAATTTGTTTGTTTGACTGTACGTAGACATTTATAAATATTCCTAAACTGGTTCGTTGAACTCATTTTAACATTACAGACATTGTAGTTTTTCATTTTGAATTAAAAACTTATTTGGAACATTTTATCCTTCACAAATCCCATGCACTTGCGTGAAGTTTGCTTCATAAAAAGATATTGTGTTTTTATATGTTACATTTTAGAGGGTACTGAAAAAATATATAAATATAAACATAAAAAATATATAGTATTAGACATAAACAGCAAGCAATGTTATGGAAGAAATAAATGTAACCATTTCACTTTATTACGTGGCGGGGCACTCTAAAAGTTCATTTGGAGATGATGGTCGAGATTTCTCTTTTATAATAACAAGGAGATGATAACACATATGGTATATCATCTAGCCTCCAGGTATCATTCCCCTTAACAGATAAAATCACATTTTATTTTTACATTAATTAAAATAGATTAGAATCAAAATAGTAACGATGACAATGACAATTACCGATATTCTTACAAGTACAGAATGAAATTTTAATGAGGAAGCTTTTTTTGGAATGATGCTTGTGAAATTTATATATTTTCTATTGTTACTTTACGTCCGTTTCATTATTAGAGATATTTCTATTTTTCCGCTAAATCATAACAAAACTACCAACATTTCCGGTTTGGAGTGATTTAGTTACAAATTTATTCCGCAATTCATATTTATAGCCATCTTTTTAAATTTTTCTCATCCTGTGGTTAATGTTTCAGTTGATTGGAGCAAGTTTGTGTAACCGAACTTCAACAAACAATTGTAAAGTGACTGGAAGTTAATTATAATGAAATAAATCTTAACTACGTATGTATTTTCTAATACTCTTTATGTTGTTTCCATCGATTCGTGTCCGGTTTTGATTTATATCTAAAAAGGCTGAATTAATATTTATACCAAACAAAACCACCCTTTAAAAAAAGCATTGCGAAATTTATGACGGTCTGTTGTTTTCGCTCTTAATTTTCCACCGTATTTTACCCCTTGCATCGTGTTATCAGCGAAAAATCCGCCTACCAAGTGTAAATTTTAGTAAATTGTTAGGTTTTATTTTCAATTTACTAGCAGATCCGTGACTTAGAAATCTTGGGATAATTTTGTCAAAATCCTTTTAGCAGTGGTAATCAGAGTATCCATTTTAATTTCTCTTAAGAAATTACTGGCTGAATACATTAGTTTCTTATCCGACCTCGCCAAGCAATAAAAATTTTAATCAAGAAAATTAACTTTTTATGCGACCGAATCTCAACTGTTGGAAAAAGAAGTATCGAAGGAACTTTAGTGCACTAATTTAATTATTTCAGTTTGCATGTTTCTTTAACTTTTTATGCGACGGAGAACATAAATATGGCGTGATATTACAGAGACAAATCTGGAAATATTGGGTTGTCGAAGTTAATGAAAATTGTATCATTTTGCTTGGAAAGACTTCCCGTGTCCGTTTCTGACACGACCATTACTCACGGGATTCGCACAACCTTGGTCGCACTGGATTGAAAACATAAGTAGTTACGTCAAACAAGACTTACCGGAAGCTTGACAGGTCAGATTAGCTGCGCCGTTGACTTTAAATCCCATTGGGCACTGGAATATGGCAGTATGGCCTAACCTCGTTCCTTCCACTCTTAGTGTAAGATGGGGGCCTGATACGGAGATTGCGTCGCAGTGTACGGCTGCATGAACAGAAATTGTAAAGTTATTTACAGCTAACTCGGTGGGGATAAATGTGTTAAATGGAAGACGTAAAATGTCACACTAATCATGACAGGAAAATTAAATGCGTAGTTTTTCAAATACAATTAAAAAGTTCTCGTTATTATTTTCTTTCGAGAAACAACAGGTGTCAATAAAATGGGGCGTACTTCTTAATTTTGTTATTAAGTATATAATAATTGGAAGATCCTTCCCATTAATTACGGGAAAAATATCATAGTAGTATTTAAGGCACATTTATCTAGAGTAAATTATCTTTTATTTTTAACGGTAAGTTAAAATACTTTATTGTTGTGGCATTTTTAAGCCCAAAAATTATTGAAATAACCTGTTTTGCTAAACTAAGTAACTATTGTAAGAATAGGGTCGATCGGGTGAATAGCTAGCTACTTTCATGTTTGCTTGATGTTTCAGAACTCCTAGAGTATGAAACTATTGGTCTCCCGTTGGCGTCTGTCTGTCGCCGTCTGCTATCAGTATCGAGTTTTATTAGAGAGACAACCTCCGAAACTATTTGACCGACTGTTGACTGTTGTCAAAATTATATCGTGTAGGTGGTACAACGTTAACCAAATTTTTTCAAATCATTTCCACCAAAAATGTGATAACGTCACGTCGAAATTTTGCATAGTAAATGTTATTTAAATTTTATAAAATCAAATTGTGTTTTATGAATCCGCCTTGATTTTTCACCCTATAGAGCCTAATTTTTGAAACAAAATCAAAATTTTATAACAATATTTTATAATTTGAACCACAAAACAGAATGCACTGAAATCGTGAAATGGTAAAAAAGTGGATGGCGTCACCTCAAAATTTTAATGAAGAAATGCTATCTCAAATGTGCAAAATAACATGAGTTTATGTATATATTTATGGATTATCAGTGCATTCATATTTTTTAGAACAATAAAAAAAAATGTGACGAGACTGAGGAGTAATGGCAGAGAAATTATTATTTTATCATTAAATATAACTTTTTTTATGTGACACCTGTACAAATTTAGCTAGCCATTTTACGTCCCCACTCACGTCCATGAAGTGTCACTTTTTCGTACTAAAATGTCAAAAATATTTTTTTTGGACTCCCTTGTCACTTTTTTTTGGACTGATTTGACACTTTTTTGTACTCAATTGCCAAAAACTTTTTTATTACTTTTGGTGTGGTGCCTAATTTAGTCACTACCTATATACAGTTACATTTTAGGCAATATAATAGGAAAATAGGCAGGAATACTGAAAACTAGATAATTAGGCAAAAATAACTAGAGCTTAAATGAGACTATTTTTTGTGAAAAGCATATCGTGTATAGGAGTCTGGCATTAAATTCAATTTAAGAAATACGTCATTTACCTTAAGATTCGCTCTCTACTGATGAAAGTACTGCGTATCGAGCAGTGTTCTACAAATAAAATATTTTTAAACCAAAATTATTTAAAACAAATTAAAAAAGAGTCATGATGGTTGAACAGTATATGCATGGTTCATAAGGTCTGTTATTAATTGTTTTTTCTTTTGAAACATTTTTATTTAAAAAAATTGGTCGAAAGTTGTTTCGACAGAACTTCCCTCGCCCCTGAAATACAATATCCAGCATTTTCAAAAAATTATAAAATTTGATTTTGCGGATTTTATATTTTTTGAGAACCCCTATAAACTGAAATAAACATATTATCTAAATATGTAAACTAAAGTAACTGAGTAAGAGATATATTTTGATTAAAATTTACCATGCCTGCAATAACTTGAAAACGTCTGCAAGACTTCAAGACATTCGGTTTTGCAATTCTTGATTTAATCAATAAAATTAATAAAAAGTCATTATTTTTTTTGAATTACCCTGTATGTATAAGCAAATCGAAACAATGAATACAAATGCAATAATTTCAAAAGTGTACGGTATACTTTATTGAATGATAAAAAAGCGAAATAAGAATGAGAAACGATACTGCAAACAAAACTCAGGCGGCGGCTCTTTGTGCAGGTGGCTGCCTGGCTGCAAGTCATAAATTAATGGAACGCCCGGAAGTGGCTAATTTTGCATTTTGCACAATCTCGAGATCATATGTGTCAACAAACGGTCAGTCGAAGACGAAATCGTATTTTTGTAATAACCACATTAAAAACAAATACATTTTATTTTCCGTTACATTTAGGCCAGAAAGGGTCTCCTAACTTTGGGGGCCTGATGTTCCAGCATCACAAGCATATCCGTATAAACCGTCTTTGAACAAATGCGGACATTGTAAAATATACTTACAGCAAATTACCAACGGAAATAGTGTCATTAGTCATTTTTTGAGACACCCTGTATAAGCAAATCTAAAAAATATCAATGCAATAGTTAATTGCAAGTATAGACTGACCATAGTTTGCTCATTTTAGACAGGATATATCCGGCAAAATTTTGAGATGACGTCATCAATTTTTTGGAGAGGATAAGTAAATATATTTTGACTTAATTTATCACAACTTTAAAACATCTGTAAGATTTCAAAGCGTTCGGTTTTGCAGATTCTAAATTAAATTGTAAAATGTTGTTTTATAATTTTGATTTTTACTTCCCGAGCGTAAGCAAAGGAAGTATTGTAATCGAGTCCGTCGGCCGACTCTCTACTTTTACGTTTTCTCGATCTTTCATGGCCCCTAGAAGACGAAGAAATAGGTCTCCCATTTCCGTCTGTCTGTCCGTCTGTCCGTCTGTCCGTCCGTCTGTCCGTCTGTCCGTCTGCCGTCCCGGATTTTTATTAGACAGATAATTTCCGAAAGTACTCGACCGATTGTTGTGAAATTTTGTACTTATATTAAGAATATCATGTAGATGGTAAAACGCTAACCAAAATTTGTCTAATCATCCCCACCACTAATGCGATGACGTCACTTCAAAATTGTACATAGTAAATGGGTCTTAAATTGTATAAAATAACATAGTCCTACACATGTAGTTTACAACTCCGAATTCAGTTTTTACCCGAAACGTCCAGATTTTTGGAAAAAAAATCAAAATCATAAAACAACATTTTGCAATTTAATTTTGAATCTGCTAACCCGAATGTTTTAAAATGTTGCAGATGTTTTAAGGGTCTAAAGAGCATCATAAATCTTTAGTCAAAATATATTTGGTTATCCCCTCCAAAAACTTGATGACGTCAGCTCAAAAGTTTGCTGAATAAATCCTATCTAAAATGTACAAAATATGATGCGTCTGTACTTGTGATATATCACTCCATTCATATTTTTTGGATTTGCATATACAGGGTGACTCAAAAAAATTAATGAATGCGCAAAATTTATTTTACTGATTTACTCAGGAACTACAAAACCGAATGCTTTGAAATCTTGCAGATGTTTTAAGGTTATAAAGAGCATAATAAATTTTTAGTCAAAATATATTTGGTTATCTTCTACAAAAAACTGATGACGTCAGCTCAAAAGTTTGCCGAATAAATCGTATCTAAAATGTACAAAATATGATGAGTCTGTACTTGTGATTTATCATTCCATTCATATTTTTGGATTTGCATATGCAGGGTGACTCAAAAAAATTAATGAAGGCGTGAATTTATTTTATCGATTTAATCAGGAATTACAAAACCGAATGCTTTGAAATCTTGGGAATATTTTAAAGTTATTATAAGCATGGTAAACTTTTGTTCAAAATGTATTTGTTCATCCCTCCTAAAAAAATTGATGACGTCACCCTTAAATTTTGCTGAATAAATCCTATCTAAAATGCAAAAAATATGATGAGTTTGTACTTGTGATTTATCATTCCATTCATATTTTTTAGATTTTCTTAAGAGGTGGTTCAAAAAAATTAATGAAGTCAATTTATTTTATTGATTAAATTAAAGGCAACACTTATTATTAGTATTACACCCCAACCAACCCAATTTGGTAGACACAAAATTTGTTAAAGGAAAAACTCGGTTGAAACATAAGGGTAGCACGCTTATTTACATCGACTTTAACATTACAGACCTGCATTTGTTTTATGCGCTCACTTGATTCCGCGAATGTGAAATAGACATGTTTATAATCAACCAATTGTGAATTTCACCGTCAAGAATAATAAAAACCCAATGTTTTATATAATAAGCGGAAGTCGAAGCAATAAAACCGATGGTCGTTTTGTTTACAGTTTCTCTGTTTGACTCTCACGTATGCTGTTACGCTTGTCATCTTAAATTAAGAATGTTTATACATAAACGATTTTCAGTTGCCGTATACGTGAGTAAATTGTTTCGTTATTTTATTGATTATAAAAAATCAATATTCAAAACGACCCAATTCATTTTCCCGAAAATTTGGGAATACAATAATTTTATTCTTAGTATTACACTACATCTATCCCAACTGATATACGTGTCCTTGCAAAAATGTTGATGACGTCATCGCAATTTTTTTTAAATTCCCACTACAAAAATGTAATGAGAAAAAAACACAATAGCCATGCAGTCGTCAAGTTTCCGACAGCGAGGGAAGTACTTTCTAAACTCTTTAGACCAATTTTTTGAGAACAGCTATAAGCTGAAATAAACATATTATGTAAATATGTAAACTAAAGTAATCGAGTAAGAGATATATTTTGATTAAAATTTACCATGCCTGCAATAACTTCAAAACGTCTGCAAGACTTCCAGGCATTCGGTTTTGCAGTTCTTGATTTAATCAATAAAATTAATAAAAACTCATTAATTTGTTTGCATTACCCTGTATAAGCAAATCGAAAAAAATGAATACAAATGCAATAATTTCAAAAGTGTACGGTATACTTTATTGAACGATAAAAAAAGCAAAATAAGAATAAGAAACGATACTGCAAACAAAACTCAGGCGGTAGCTCTTTGTGCAGGTGGCTGCCTGGCTGCAAGTCATAAATTAATGGAACGCCCGGAAGTGGCTAATTTTACATTTTGCACAATCTCGAGATCATGTGTGTCAACAAACGCTCAGTGG